ATGAAAGTCTAGTCAGAGATATATTATAGGCAGAAATGGGAGTTAAGAGGGATAAAGGTAGACCTAGATTAGATTACTGTTTGCAAATAGTTAAGGATGTGGGTTGTTCTAGTTTTGCGGAAATGCGAAGATTAGCTCAGGATAGTAAAGAGTCTGCTACTAACTCGTCTAATGTAGTGTCGGACAGATAAACAAATAAAATACAAATAAACCTTCAACTATGTTTATTTTTTTTAATCGAAAGGAATGGACAGTGATCGTGATCGTCAAATTGTACTTTTATACTTACGTTGTAAGATGTTAGTAACTTTTTGAGATTCTTTTATGATTCCCATAAAGAAAACAGAAATGCAGGTAATAGCTTTATTTCTATATTTTATTTTTTTTATGGAAAACCAATACGATCCAACATTTGTTGCAAGGATTTGGGAAACCCCAATAAAACCCAATTAGATCATTATACCTTAGAAGTACTTTCAAATAATATGTTACCTGTCTAAGAGACCAGGAGATAACAGACAAGCAATTTTACGTACACTTAGTGAATTAAGGGGATTCAGTAGTGCAGCAAAAGGTTTCTATGGGGTACGCAGCGTAAGGCGAATTTGAAGAAAAAGGCGGAATTATTCGCAACTAATCGCTCTATTTCTCAATTCTTATCATTCCCATCATGCATACATCATTCTCCGTGTTCTTTCAGAAAGAGAAAATCTCGTGCATGCATACAGGGTGTCTCCTGATAAGATTTAGCCGACAGAGAATCAAGCGTAAATCGAAAAAGATAATTCACGTATGCCGGACAGAGATAAGCCAATGGTTAACTGTTCAGAACTTTAAGACAAAGTTAGGTCAATATTTAACCGGATCTCGCAAACAAGATTTTGAGGCGCTGATATAGCTAGCACGAGTGTAGGACAGAGCTAGGTCAATATTTCACAGGATCTCGGATGCAAACGTTCAAGCCCCTCTTCCCAATCTCCCTCTTCCTTGCCAGGGTAGGTTGAATGTTGGAGATTGAATTCTATGGAGATTCCCCTTACGTTCCTACTATGCCTATGTGTACGTAACTAAACCAAGTGCTGTGAATTTCCTTTTATGTCCTTCTACCTAAGCTGCAACCTATCTTTCTCGTAATCTCGACTACGAACATCAGCATTTCGGGCGACCTGTCCCTTTCTCTTTACAACCACGAAAATTCCTAGCGATCGAACTCGCACGCGAGAAGAACTTCCTTCTCTTGCTTTATTTGTTGGTTAACTTTTTCTTTTTATTATCAAACAAAATCTTTTGTATAAATTTCTCTACAAGGAGTATATATCAAATATTAAAATTATGTAGTATATACAGGTATATTATACATTATGGCATATTCTAAAAACTACTATTTATTAGGTAACCAATTGTAACTACCGTCTTTTATATGTAAATTACAGCATATTTTCCAATAAAATTTGGTCAGATGATGAAGTATCCCCACGTAGTCAACCACCCTCAGAAAATTTAACTACTGTTTCTCGATCTTCCTCACCTGTAGCCCATAGTGACAGCGGAATACATCAAAGTACAATTGAAGAAGAAGGAACTCCCACGGAATGGACTCCCGAAATACCTTTCGAGAATGTGAGTTATAATAACAACCGCTACAATGTGCAAATTTTATGTATATACAGTATATCTTGTATAAGGTTGCTAACGCCCTTGAGCATGACTTTACTATTCTATCTTGCTTTTTGCAATCGCGTCTACAGCTGTCTCGCTTATTGTTGTTTTTAGAACCAATGGGTAATCGTAAAACAGTACCATTACTCAGAGCCTTACAACTACCATTCTTCGGTATTCTTCCTCCAAGTAATCGGAAATGTCCGTCTACCGACTTTCGAAACACATTTTCTGACCGCCCGCTATAACTACCACTCGTTTCACTTTTCAACTTTTTCAGATTAATTTCATCTTTTTTCCAATACTAAATCTATTTTATGTAAACAGAATACAATGAGCAAATATTGTTAGTTTAATTTTAAATAATCAACGCAATAGTAAAATCACTGCACCCCACCAATAATGATTAACAAAAGAGGTTTGACGGATCGTACATTAAACTTAATTGTTATAATTTTTGCAAATCTGCATAAGAATTGATTAGCTGATATGTGAAGGACAAATATAGACAGTCTATAATCCTCAAAAGGTAGAATACTGCATTTTATTGTCAGCAGGAGAACTTTAAGCCAGTTAACACATACTTGTAACGGTTCCTAAATTAAAAAAGTAATTCGCCGACATTACATTTAAAATAATGATGAAATGTAAACAAATAATTTTGTACAACTTGTACAATTAAAAAATTTAAGTTTCAGAAAAGCAATACAAACAGACAGTCAAAGAAATAAAGGCTTTTAAAAAAATATTGAAAGTCCGTTTCTATGAAATCTGATACACTTTATTTTGCTCCTAAATTAAATGCGAATTTGGACGTTTTTGGTTAAAAATAAAGTGAACCACTACAATATCTAAATTGACTAGACAGGAGTGTTTAGTAGAGTTATTAATAAAATAGTTGAAAAGTATCGTCTCATAATTAGACACCTTTTGCACTAATATCTAACTTATTCAATTATTTACTCTTTATCACTTCTTCGCTCATCTTATTTCTTTTTATATCACCTCGTCACTAAGACTCCAACTAACTCGCGGCGGGTATTTATAGGCGTTGAACGTATTCTAGAAACTCTAGTCTTCTTTGTTACTGTGTATGTTGGATTGCATACATGTGACAGTACAATGGTAGTGTAATTTAAGATTAGGGCGTTATGCTGTAATCAGTTGATAGATAATACCATGACTCGGAATATAGGTACGTTTGATACCAACAGCTGGGTGATTAAACGATTTAACATTACTTTGGAGAACTACATAAGAAAAACCACCAACACTAGCCAGCATTATTTTTGGGAGAAAATTTAGGATAAAGGCTTGGAGACTACAGTGTTTACATACGAGTACCTACGCTACAACTACAAGAAACTATACATAGTCCTATGCGTACAAAGTTGCAGTTGGAAATTTTCCACGTGAGAGCCAGACACAATCGACGAGTCAACTCTGCTGGTGTTAATGAAGGTGACAAGGTGTGATCTTTCGATGGAAAAGACGTTGCTCGAAACTACAAACTTGAGGTAGTCCTTACACTGTTATACGATGCATCATTTAAGGTAATATCGTAACGATCAATTTTAGGTGGGGAGGACGTATTGCGTATAAGCGAAAAGGCGTGTTATTGCGGAGATTACGCTAGTATAGCAAAGAAGACCAAAATTTTCAAAAACTTATAGTCCAGATACCGATCGTTCTAGAACAAGTCCGACCCTCTATAAATACTATGTCTATTACTTGCTCACTGATCGCTGCTTTTAAATATTTAATCTACGCCCCTGATAGGAAATACTGAAAAAAGAGGGCTGCAATCGTTATACCTAAAACTGCCTACTTTTGCCACCGCGCATCCACGCCATTTTAAAATTTCCGCCAGCTTCCAGCGTCAGGCCTGTATTCTAGTCGTTCTTATAGTTCGCCCTCATATTCGTCTGTAGGTACTGGAGAGTCACCAGGACGAGCAAACATCATGCCG